AAGCGAGTTCGCATCGCCAAAGAGTGTGACGGTGGCGCACGTAAGGCGCGCGGTAATTGATAGAAATGCAATTACGACATTATCGTGATCGAGGACCTGATAACGCCGCTCCGAGAGTAAGCCATTGGAAAAAATGTAAAAGCGACGAGCGCACGCAACGGTTTCAAATGTTTTCCACTAGTCAGGCGGAGCGGACACACGACACTGTGCGAATTGGCTATAGATTTTTTTTTAATTAAAATTTAAATCGTTACAGTTCCTATTATCATTGTTGTTAATATACCTGAAATTCCTGCTGCGTTGGCTAAACTGGAGTACCACAGAAGACGGCGTGAAGTGCCAGTAAACACTATATCCATACTACTGTCGATTTATCAACATCTTGTTAAGATTTTTTATACATTAAAATATAAATCGTTTTAAAGTTTCTTTTATCATTGTTGGAAATATGCCTAAGTTTCTGCTGCATTGGATAAACTGGTGTATCACAGAAGACGTCGTAAAGTGCTAGTAAACACTATTTTGATACTACTTTAACATCTCGTCTGTTGTGTGCGAAAAGCATATTAGCAACATACATGAAATCTTTTTGGTGTTGCAGATGTCTACGTGCGACGGTGATCATTCACCATCAAGTTAAATGCTTCTTCGCTTGCTTTCTTTTATAAAAAAAAAAAAAAGGGAGTTACCAGTACTAGGGAAAGGGACATGAATATCCGATGACGACTGACACGCCTCTAAGCTGATTCGAAGATATGCGCACCTTATGAGTGTGGTTCAAATGCATTGTTGTTTCTAAAAACATACTTTACGGTATGGAATATAATTTATAATATTATTGGTTTTGAATGATCTATAATCATATATTATTTACTAATAGGTACACATAAACAGTTTCTATGTTAACACACACGTTTTATGTTAAGCGATGTATTTATGTTATAAGCAAATTAGAATTGTGATCGAGAAAAGTTTAGCAAACATTAAAATCATTGTTTGGATTGATCCCGGCGGCTGAATTTCACCATCGGACATCGCGCCAAAACCAAAAATTTCATCCACACCACCTCGATGTTTAGCGGTCCACAACAGCACGATTTTCAAGGCATTTCCTGCCTCGCACAACCACTCTGTGGAACCAGCTGCCGCCGGCCGTCTTTCCGAACCGTTACGACCTGGGAACCTTCAAGAAGAGGGCTTATCCTTTCTAAAAGGCCGGCAACGCATTTTTAAGCCCTCGGGTGATGCAAATGTCAATGGGCGGCGGTGATCACTTACCATCAGGTGAGCCTCCTGCTCGTTTGCTGCTTTTTCCCATAAAAAAAAATCTTGATAAAATGGCTGACAACATCAATGCTCACATCACTTTATTTGACAGCTCATGAGCCTATTTCTTCCACTTTATTACGTATGCTGACGATAGAAATCCTTCGTGATTTTGGATTACTGTCGCAAGTAAATAGCATGCAATTATTTCATTACCGTATTTCATAACAACACAGCCCGAAGGCATCGCTTGTCGTCCACCGGTCTGGGCGCCAGGGCTGTATACGCGGGGACGTTTATGCAAACCATGACGTGTAATCGTATTGCCTGCCGGCAGCCCTTTATTTAGGTATGCCTTCTGACGTTGGTAGAACTGATCTCCGTCGAAAAAATTATCCTTGAAGTGTAAGGCCTTGACTGATGGCCAGCAAACGTTTGCCTTGAAGTGCGTGTTGGTGCGTGTTGTCGTGCAACTGTTTCAAGTTAATTTCAAAAAAATTAACTGGAAACATTTGCACCGGTTATTTTAATGTTACCTATAGACATTCCAATTTTATTTATCTGTATTATAGATACCAATATTATTTACCATATTTAATTGAGGCGGCTTCCTGCAACCGTCTTTAGTTTTACGATAAGGATTTTTGCTTCTAAGATAGAGATAAATAGAATTTCCTAAATTAGCATTTAGCATAAAAAATGACATTCACATATTCATAAAAGTAACCATTTTTAAACTAAATACTTGTATTCAATCACATAAATTATGATAGAGGCAGGTTCCTAAATTTCATGGATCGTGCTCCCAAATTTAACGAAGAAGAGAAGAGAAGAAATTGAACGAAGCGCTCTTTGTCGTCTGTTCAATAATTGTGTCAAAATGAAAACTATCGATGTCTATCGTTTTCACTTGCTGGGTGCAAAATTATAAAGATAAAAAAAGGAAAACAATTAATTAAGATTTGCAGTAACTCATTTCGACAGTAAGATTAAAAAGTTAATTTGTTATTTAAAAGAAATTAACGATATGCGCTATATATAATAAGAGAAAGAGGATATACATATTCATCCTAACATTAAATTATAAGTCTGGCCGAGAATGTTATTGAAAGACGTGAACGCTTTCAATGTTTTGTTATATTATATAAAATTGTGTATAAATATGCTTTTGACACAATCTTAAAACTCAACAATATTTCCTTATTTTTAACAAGGCAGCAAGATTTGGCCTAAAAAAAGATTTCCCACGGGATCGAATAAACCGCACACGATAGCTCTACAACGGGACGTCCGCCCGTGAAACATACGTGCAAGGAAAACCGCAACAGAACGATTCAACGCATCTAGTTCACCGATTAAGTTGGCTTAGTTATCAAATTTAACATCAACAAATGTTCATCGTTGAATATTCTTTTTAGTTGTAAGGATGCACACTAGATGGCGCCAAGCGTTGCTAAAATGCAATACAAAGAACGATAGATGACGAGATATTCGCGCGGTGAGGTCATTGGCAGCTATGCTTAGTTGGTAAAGCTCCTAGGCGCGAAACCGGAACGCAGGTTCGAATCCCCAAGCGCCGAAAGTATTGTTCATTTATACACAAAACTTCACAGTTTAACTGTGAAATATCAATAAACATTCATGGTAGTAGATTGTCCGGTGGGCATTTCCCAATCAGGGCAAAATGTACAAAGTTTTGTCCTCCGATTCAGGAACTTAACATTTTAAAAATTTAAAACATCTTTATTCACAAAGACACTTGCGCGTTCTTATGAATCGTCGAAATTTTTAATAGAAATTAATGCGTTCGTAAGTTACCACTGGTTCGAAAAGCAGTTTCTCTTGAGAAGAAATCGACAAGAAACTTAGAAGTTGATATTTTTTTAAAATGTCAGTGTAAAACATAATGGTACAGGTATAATAGTCTTATTTTTAACGGTGGTAGAGCCACGCAGCAGCCTCTGCTGTTGCACGAATGGGCCGGCTCGTTCGGGTAAGTGCCACGAACTCACACAAGACTGGCGTAAAGTGGAAGAATGACAAATACTTTCGAGTTTCGTCTGGCGAGTGAGCTAGCCGGAGCCCAATTTCCAAAAAGGTTATCAACGCATCTGCAAACCCTCGGGTGTAGTGATGTCTATGGGCGGCGGTATTCACTTAACATCAGGTGAACCGGCTGCTCATTTGGAAACTTTTCACATTAAAAAAAATTGCCTAAGTGAGTATCAACGGTATTAATGTGTGGACATTGCCGTCGTCAATACAAAATAGTTCAAATCACCAAATAAAAACACAGACAATGTATCGAAACAGATATGGTCGGTAGAAATTATGATCTGATAGGATTCCTCATTATACATATATGCTGTAAATAAGGGGAAAATTGCCTTGATCCATTGTTTTTTGTTTTTTGAACATAGTTTATCCTTCTTCCATGGCATTAGAGTTGACGGCCATAAAAACTTATTAACTGCTGTTACGTTCAATTGTTAGCGACGCCCAAGTGGAATAGGAGAATGCAAAAAGGGCCATGGAAATAATGCCGGTCGACGGGCGAAATGCGAGGTGCAAGAGCAAAAAACGAGTTGGCTTCTCGACGCTCCCTCTTGGGGTCAAGTCGTCGACGGGAAAGCGATTTTTTATGCTTATTTTGTATTTTATTGTGTTTAGTTTTTTTTTCTATGTTTCTGGCATTTTGTTCCCTTTATGCCAATGACAAGTAGAGTTGAACTAACATTCAAATTTCATGTTACGTACAGATTATAATTTTATATTTCTTTATTTTTTTGTACTTAAATATTGATCAGGGCTAGACTACTATCTCCCATATACAGGTAAGAATAGATTTAAATTATATGCTTAATAATAGTAATATTAAATTATATGTTCTAAAAATATAGTAGTTTGTAGTAAACTATGCTTCCAGCTCAAATATGTATTAGAATCAATAAATGTTGTTGTAACTGTATTTTACGGTAGTCCGTTTACTTAGGTGCACCGTACAGAAGTAAGAAGTTCTGCGAGCTGATTGGGTAATAAAGTGTGTACCTGCCAAAGTGTAATTTCGCTGGATTTAACAATATTGGGCGGTTGATTCGATTCAGAGTCAAAGCAGCTTGAGTGAAGCTGGGTGTACAGAGTACGAAGTTGCCAAATTCTCGATATTCCATAGAAAGCATCCTTTATATCTTGGACGAATGAACGACGCTTCACTGGGCTATAATATTTGGTTATAATTTGCAACTCCCGAAGAAGACATTAACCTCATCTTTCAAAATGCATTAAGTAGTAGAGCCAACAATGTGTGTCCGTCTTTCCGTCGTCTGTCTTCATGGCATGAGCGATAAAAGAAACGGACTCGAAGGAGAAAGTTTTATATTTATAGATTTTTTTTATGTTCGTAATTAGGCGCTGATTTGTTAACACAAAGTTCGATCTCAATGATTCTTAATTTTATAGAAAGAATATGAATTTAGTCATCGCATAATCGTAAGGACCATCAAAATCCCATTTTGCAATGTGTACGAAATAGGTCTTTACCTCGTACTCTGATGATATAAGGATATCCGCTCTGTAATCAATCGCAATCATCCTGACCAAAAACATGAAATATATATTTGTTAGGATTGTTAGGATTCGGCTTTATTCATATTTTCAAGATGTGCGAATCTTAGTACTAAGTCAGTTTCGAACCTTTCGACAATATAAGAACTTTTCCAGTAAAGATTGCACTACTCTATAACGATAGAGACCGCGAAGCGTTCCGGTAGAGCGGCAACAGAGCGTTGGTGCGTCAGCGTCAGTCCGTCAGTGCGCCCGCGACCTTCCGCGCCGTCGGCCGTCTCCAACAAAGCGTTCGTCCCGCCAAAACGGCGCGTTCGAAACTTGAACGCGGCCGCCGTTCGGTAGTGCCGTGCGAATCTTATGTGCCCGATCCAATTGGAGTGTGACCGCAATGTGATTGTTTTGTGCTGAATGCGTTCGAGAGGATTTGTTGTAGTTCCAATCGGTCTTGTAAGTGTTATCGAAACTGCGTTCTTTTATAAATATTGGCGATTGTTTTTAAATCAACTTAGCATTTTAACAGCTGCAAATTTAGCGCCATTTTTTGATCTGCAGTATTTTGGTTTTTGTGCTTTTCTGCTAATTGAATGCTTTCGTACATTATTATTTAATTTGTAAGTTTCAATTAAATTCGTATTCAAATATCTTTATCCACTGTAGAAGTATTACACTTACTTATTAAATTTAACTTACTTATTTATAAAAATGGATTGAAAGCATGTTTTTAGATCCTATCTTATTATTATCAAAATGTTTTAAAAATTAAACTAAAATTACCCGTGAGTAAGTAGTACACGTGAGTTATTCAAAATTATTAATTTAATTACAACAAGATATAGTTTCGAACGCTTGATTTATTAAACTCGCATTTAATAACAATTTGTAAATAATATTTATGGTATTGTAATTCAAATTATTTCTAGTTTTCTAAAAAATACTTTAAACTATGTTTAACATACGTAGTAGTAGTGTAAAAAAACATTCATTACACTGGCAATAATACATCTTTATAGTCAACTTACATTTAAAGAAAATCTCTTTTAAAACGTATGATGAAATTTGTACAGTTTACATTATTTCCCTCACATTGAAACAGTGTAACAATCATTCTCATTATCGAAACTTCATTATATCGACCCCAATGAAAAATAAATTCTTGATTAGAAAACCTTGGAAAATTAAGACGGAACAAGGAGATCGAGAATACGAATGTTAAGCCATTATGCGACATATTTTTAAAGAAGACCATCAAATCTTCTCCCAAGGTATGAATAAAATACAACTAAAGACATAATTTAAAATTTGGCAAAATAGTCAATAAAAATTAACAGATTCTCTATATTAACCCAAATATTACACAAAGTAAAAATAAAGTTGGATAAATGAATTTACCGCGGTTTAATTTTATTTTAAAATACGATGACTCTCTTGAATTAACATACAACAACTTAACAGTATTTATGGTCTTACGTTCCGATTAAAATTAATAATTTTAAAGTCGATGGCAGACCGACCTCAGAAGTCAAACTTTTTTTATAATATGTAAACCGTGACAAAATCCAAAAACTGGTTTTGTTAGAAAAAAACAAAAAAATGATTTAAATTTTGTAAAAAAATTGTAATTAATTTCGTAAACTTGCTAAAAGTTAAAGCCATATTTTTTATTTGTAAAATTGTATCATTAATTATTAGTTTTTTTACATTTATGTAAGTCGTTTATTTACTTTTAAAACTACCGACATTACATAAGTATATGCGAATAAATATTTTTCTGATGATATTCTTATCAAAATACGCAATAAAATTTTTGTGACAATTCGATGCGTCTTACGCTAACATTATCCATGTCTACATATGTTAACGTGAAATGGTAGCTCAAAGCGGTAATTGAATCGATGGCGGATAAGGCGCGGGATGTCGTGGCCTGAGGAGGGCAGCGCTGCACACCACGACTGGATTAGTATGCGTGCGATGGATTTTTTGAAATAAATCTCAGCTCTCACCTTCCACATCGACTTAAAGGCCATCAAGCAATTCGGGTACAAGGCTTCGTGCGAGCGATTATTGGGAATAAATTACGCGTAGCTCGCGTGCAAGAGATAGAGCCTATCTATTAGCGGTTTTCAAATAAACGCGTATCGATGGTTAAAAACATTTTAGCTTGAATGTCTCTTCTGCCGTTGAAGAGCTGGAAACTTTGAAAATTATAAACAGACTATTTAGAAATTTAAATTTTCATAATGCTAATCTTTGCACTTAAGATTAAACATTATAATTTGTAGAAAAAAGTATGAAAAGTTTGTCGACGCTGTGGGAATCGAACCCACGTCTTCGGGATTCACGCGATGATGCTTTAGCCACTATTTAGAAAATAAAAACTGGTTAAAACAAAAGCGTTTTTAAATGTTTTGCTTAAAGAGGTGTAAATATTTAGTAAAAGCGATAAGAAATAGCAAGAGGGATAGCTCTTTCCTTATATTAATAACGGTATCGGTTGTCACCGTTAAATGCTTTTGGTTTCTTGAGTGCCCGGAATTTCGAAACTTGCTCAATGTATAATAATAATCGAATCGATTAAAAGACGTTTTCTTAATTTATATTTATGACATGTCTACATTTTTATTGGTTCTATAATAAATTGCAATACGGTGGTGAAAATGGACGACAGAAACAAGTCTTTTATTCTGTAGTGGCTAAATCTTTGGGTAACGATTGACTAAGAAAACCGGAAGTACAATAACCTGTGGAAGTTGAAAAAAAAAAGAAGACGCGAACCACAGAAGTTTTTCAGTGCATTGTAATTATTATAACATGAAATAATAATCTCATTACAGAGAGACTTTTGTTTTAACTATAACAAAAGCTAACATGCTACATATTTGTAGTTATCTTAAGTTCTATATATTACCTAAATCTTATACCTTCAATTAAAGTAAATAGTATATGGGAAAGTTTATTTTAAGACTTCCACATACACAAGTTTGTTTCTGTGTGAGAAATCTTAATGTAAGATTTATCATCAGCTGTCAAACTAAATGAATGGCCCTTTGCAGTAGTAAACAAGGTGCCAGAGGAAATTGCCGAGGTGCTTTCGTATCCTGTGCAGAGTGTAGATGCCTCTATATGTAATAATATGCTAAACGCCTCTACCTGCGAACGTATGATGTATTATGTGGACGTCGCAATATCCGGCGCTCACGCATACGCCTCTTCACAGTGATTTTAAGTAAGATTCTACACAATGATATTGTGAATAAGAATGTGGGTGTAAATTCGATCTATTTAGTTTGATTAAGATTGAGAGAAGTTTTTGATTCTTTATTTTATTAAGTCTGTTCATTGACTCAGTTTCACACGATCATTTCTTTTATCGATAACGTTTTTAGTGTACCGCTACTACCACTTTAAAATTCATGAATGTTAATACCATACATTTACAAGATATGATGTTGTTATATACATATGAGATGAATGGGGTGTTACTTCACTTTTGATATTTATATAATATTGATAGACAATATTGGGGTCGTTATTATTAAATAACAAAGCAAGTGATAATATATTAAACTAAGACTATTATTGGACAAATAACTGTTTGATTCGCTCCTGTTCTAATATAGCAATTAATCGAGGGCGTTGTCGTCTAACGCGTTGATGTCTTTTGTTTAGCAAACTCTTTCATCTTTATAGCCGGTAGCATTAAAATCATATATTATAAGTATGTACAATTATTTTAGCGGTGGAATAAATTTATTTAATAAAATTAATTATAAAATTGTTTTCTGTTCCTGAGTGGCGAAACCCAGATTTTGATCCGAATCGTTTGACGTTTGTGTAGGATCAAATATAAGGTGAACCCTCTATTACTACCACAGCCTTACCTATTAAAGTTAATATTGTACACATATGTTACATAATATGTATAAATATGTACAAAGAAATGTTTTATATTGATAAACATTCTCACTACGCCTCGACATCTGCGGAGCGAATTATTTTATAAACTTTGCAAAAATACACTAAGCGTCTATACTAGCTTTAGCTACGCGTTCAAAACAAAATATTTGATGAATCGTTCAACATTTGTTATTCAAAAACACTGAATAGCCGTTTACTAACTGTAGATCGAAAACAATTACTTTTAAATATGATTCCACCATTGTATTTAAAATATTTAAAAAAATACGCTATTCTTCTACATCCCTTCTAACGCTCCCCTTAAAATTACCATGCACCCTTGTTTTCGAGGTAGGGATGTTCTTTAGAATGTAAAATGTACCGCTTTTCGTAGTAGCCGTGCCTAATTCAGTACTTACAAACATACGCGTAGAATCATAAGGGGTTATAACTGTTATTATTAAGAAATATTTCATGTATTACTACTTTTAACGTTCATTAGCGATTACGTATTAATATAATTTAATTTCTCGGTACGCTGTATTTAATATTGGATTCAGGATAATATATTTTTGAATGTACCATACAACAATTCTAAGTAGTTAGCATGTGTTGTTTTATTTATTTACTAATTACATATATATATATATATATACATAGGCAAGCATCCATATCTGGATCAATACCGGTACATTATGCAAATACCTATAGCTACTAGAAATTCAACTCAAACCTTGCCGAACTAACCAATGAAAATATTTCTGCCAAATAAAACGAATTTCTTATATCAATGCTGCTATATTATCAGGGACATCACTAAATGCACACTTGGAGAGAATAAAAAAAACGGGTACACTTCGATTGTGTAAGGGCCCGCAGGCGTGATAATTGTTTATACCCTTCTTTCTCAAATTTTTACAACGCTATTAAAGGTTTGAAATTAGAGATTTTGAAGAATATTATTAGTTGTTATTAAATCATACCACAGCTGTCTGACTGACACTTTTTGAGCACGTTTTTTTTAAATTGAACTTTATTTAACAGAAACTTTCGTTCTACGTACAAACTGTTTGCTTTCGGTTGGTACTTATTGGTACGTTCGAAGTATATGGATACATTTTTACTTATTTCGAACATTTCAGTAACACTATAATACACAAACAAATTAGCATTATATGATAATTAACTCATATTGGCGTAGTTTAAATCAAAACTGAGCAGCGATCGACTTATTTGACGACGACTTGAAAATTTACGGTGTTAGGGCCACGGTACAGCAGCCTCGGCTGTTGCACGAATGGGCAGGCCCGTCCGGGTAATTACCACGACCTCACAGAAGACCAGCGTAAAGTGTAAGTATGACAAATACTTTCGCGTTTCGTCTGGTGAGTGAGGTAGCCGGAGCCCAATTTTCAAAAGGTTGTCAACGCATCTGTAACCCTCGGGTGTGGCAGATGTCCATGGGTGGCGGTATTCATTTAACATCAGGTGAACCGTCTGCTCGTTTGGCAACTTTTCACTTAAAAAAAATGCCGTAATCAAAATATGCCAGAAGCCGAGAATTTTGGTTGTGAGAAATAAAATAGTGTTAATGTCTTAGAGTCCATTATAAGAGCTTTGTTTTTTCGTTCAGACGCAGTGGATGAACTGAAACTATTAAATGAAGCTGTTAACGCCGATGTTGTTATAAGACATTAACATTTTTTTACGTCGTAACGCCCCGGTGCGTTGTGGGAAAGCGTGTTTGTGTATATCGGCATAGTTTGTTAATGATCTTTTGTAAACAACGGCTGTGCCCAAAAAGAGAAACAATCTAAATATTTTTGCATTATTTGCTCGTCCTTATAGTTAAATTAAAGTTGTACTTTCGGAGTTATTAAAGTAAAAAAAATTAAAGATTCGAATTCTGTGGATTTTTGTAGATAATTGGAAATGTTTTTATATTTTAGGACACATTTTTACACAACATTTTCTAGTCCCAAACTAAGCAACGCTTGTACTATGCGTACTAGAAAACTGATAAACATACTTAAACATACTTTTCTAATCATTGAGATCTTAGTCGGGTGATGTCTTTACTCTCTTTCCTGGGGACCATGTGAAGGCTTCTATCGTCGGAGCTAAGAATACTACGAACTTGATAGAGCAATCACTACTCGCGATGAATAGTTCGTTTATTTTACGAGTTCCCCGCTCGCACGAACAATGGGCGCAGGGTACAAAGGCGCTCCACGCTCCGCGGGGTACAAAGAGTGGTCGCATGCGCGGGCGCCGTTGGACAATACGCCGACCTCACAATTGGAAATTAATCACGGCAGATGGAGGAAACGCTGCGGCCCAAATCGATTCCCTAACTTTAAAATATTGTGAAATAATAGACAAAAAGAGGAAAAATGCGAAAACTTTTTCGTCCTTTTTTCTGCAAATTTTAATGTTTCATCTTACGTGCAAAGAATTAGCACTATCAACATTTTAAAAAATTAACATTCCGTTGCCTAAGAGAGTGAACGAGCCAAACAGATATTTATAACAGGATAAAACGCAAGTTCGAACCCCAGTGGCGAATCAACAGTTCTTTGTTAGACTTTTAATATGCAAAGATCACTCTCCTTCTGATATCCGTGTTAGTTAAATGAGCTCAGTAAAAGATGGTTAGTACTTTTTATATCTAAGCTACAAGTAGTGAGAGACATGAGTGTAAGACAGATCGATTGTGACTAACATGGAAGCCGCGTGATTAGATTCTCCATAAACCTGCCCGCTGAGAAGATAGTTAAAGATTTCCATCTATTTTAACACTTACGTAGTGTAAAATTAGTTTCATTTAACGGGTGTCATAAAGTTGAGAATTCGTGTGGGAAAGGACTTAATAACTGACTTTAACAAGTGCAAATATTTGAAAACAAATACTTTACGTCGCTTGGTACGGGTCGAGTCTTCGTCGAGTTCTATAGACGTCGTCAAAAGATAGTTTTAGTTTTATCTTTGTATATATTATACTAGTTAAATACGAATTTTGTAATATTAATCACATATATAATAACCCAACAATGTATTGTATCCAGACAACAACAGTATATATTCGAAACGATAAATAAAAATCGGAATCAATAGTTCCTCTTAGTAAATA